ACTACTACTACTACTACTACTACTACTACAAATGATACTGAGAATCACTCCTACCACTCTACCCACCTCCCCTGCTACCCGTCTCGCCTCCCCGTGTTAAGACGGCGGCACGCGCGATGCGGGCCCTGCACAGGTGGAAGAGCAAAGATCAGTCTGCTGGCCAACGGCAGTTCGAATGCGTAAGCAAACCTCAACCTACTCCTCGTGAGCTCGTTTATCGCTGCCAGCTCTCCTTACCCTCACGTTCCTCATCTGCCATCGTGCTCCGCTTCCTTGCCCTCCCCATCGTCAATATCTGTGTTATTTGATCATGATGTTCCGCCTCTCATCTCCTTGTCGGGTTTTATATCATCCTCTCTCCCCCTCACTTTTACTTCCTCTTCTTCGCTCTCCTCACGGTCCTCATCACTCTCTCACTGCTGCACCCCCTCTTCCCGACCTCATCATCATCGTCATCCTTCTCACTGTCACACTCATCAGAGCCCGACTCGCCCTTCATATCTCCAACCGTTTTATCATCCAGATCTCCATCGCTCCCATCCACCTCCTTCGGATGCTGCTCCTACACCTCCTCCCACTGCGCTGCTCATCCTGTTTACTCATCTCCCCTCGTCCCCGATGGCCCCTCCCTGTATTCACTCGTCTCCTCGTCCCCCCTCGCCGCCCTCGCCTCCATTCCCCCCCTTCCTTACCCCCTCCTTCTCCTCCTCGCCTCCTCCTCCTCCTCCTCCTCCTCCTCCTCCTCCTCCTCCTCCTCCTCCTCCTCCTCTTGCTCCTTCAAGCCCCTGTGCCGCCGCACGCAACGCAGCAACCGAGAACGGGCGCGCTGGGGGCCGGGAAGTGGGGAGGAGGACGGGCACCGCGCCACGAGGAGTTAACTGAGGAACGCAGAGGGGCACTGGAGGAGGAGGAGGAGGAGGAGGAGGAGGAGGAAGAGGGAGGACGAGGAGGAGGAGGAGGAGGAGGAGGAGGAGGAGGAGGAGGACGAGGCGGAGGAGAAGGGGGAGGATCGGGAGGACGAGAGGCAGGAGGAGAGGAGGAGTAGGAGGGTAGAGGAGGAGGAGGAGGAGGAAGAGGGATGAGAAGGAGGAAGAGAGATAGGATGAGAGGAGGAAGGCGTAGAAGGCGAGACACCGCGCAGAGACAACCCGGGCCTGCGGAGCTGCGGGCCGTCGCCGGCCGTCGCGCGGGAGAACAAAAAAAAAAAAAAAAAAAAACAAAGCAAAATAAATAAAAAAACAAAAGCGCACCGCCCACAAGCAAAAAAAACACAACGCAAAAACGCAAAACGAAAACAGAAAAGGTAAGAAAAAAAAGGAAAGACAGATAACAAAGAGAAGCGAACCTAAAAAAAAAACCCCAAAAAAAAAGATAAAAAAAAAAAGGGGAAAGAAAGCTAAAAAACCAAAAGGAACGCAAAAAAAAAATGAAAAAAAGAAAGGATTAAAGAATAATAATAAAAAGTCAAAAAAAGCGACCTAGCGCTTCGCGCGGACCACCTCTCCTCCCCGGGGCCCCACCGCGGCTCAGACTGGGTGGCCCTGACGCGCCGCGGCTGCACATCCCGCGGCCGAGTGCTGCCACCTGCGGCCGCTGGACGGCCTCGCGGGCAAACGACCGCGAGGCCGACCTCACAGCGTGCCAGGAGCCGCACACCCTGGCCGACCGAAAGCAAACCCCTCCTCCTCCTCCTCCGCCTCCTCCTCCCCTCCCCTCTCTCCTCCTCCTCCTCCTCCCCTCCTCCTCCTCCTCCTCCTCCTCCTCCTCCTCCTCCTCCTCCTCCTCCTCCTCCTCCTACCTCCTCCTCCTCCTCCTCCTCTCTCTCCTCCTCCTCCTCCTCCTCCGCTCCTCCTCCTCCTCCTCCTCCTCCTCCTCCTACCCCTCCCCCTCCCCCTCCGGCTCCCCCCTCCCCTCCCCCCTCCTCCGCTCCTCCTCCTCCTCCTCCTCCTCCTCCTCCCTCCTCCTCCTCCTCATCCGCCTCCGCCTCCGCCTCCTCCTCCTCCTCCTCCTCCTCCTCCTCCTCGTCCTGCTGCTCCTCCTCGCTCCCCCCCCCCTGCGGCTCCCCACCCCGAGGAGTGCCCTGGCGGCGCCCACAAAAGGTGGCGCGGGGGAGGGCGCCTTCCCAGAGGGTCGGGAGGGCTTCTTCGAAACCCGCCTGGCTTCGGAAGAGCCTTCTTGGAGGCCCAGGATGCTTCTCGATGGTTCTCGCCGAGAAAAAATGCTCACGTCCGAGCGATGCCAAGTCAGAAGCCGACCCCCCCCCCCCGCGCCACGCTCTTGTGGGCGCCGCCTGGCGCATGCTGCTGCCCAGGATGGCGCAGCTCCAAGGTGGGGCGCTGCCAGCGTCGGCGAGTCAGAGTCTGCACCGTCGGAGGGGTCACGCTCGAGACCGACTTGTTGCGGACTCGGCGTCGTCGCGGCCTGCGCTTGAGGCTGGACGGAGCACCGCCCGCGTCGAGGCGGGCTGCAGCGCGGACACGGGCTGCAGCGCGGGCAGGGGAGCCTCGACGAGCGTGGTATGATGCCTCGGCGCATCAGGAGGGCAAAGCTTGTGGGACGTGGCCTCTAGGCTCTGTCCAGGCCAAGGCCGTGGCAGTGGCGCAGCGTCTGCCTGGACCGAGAGAGCGGCACTGCGACAGCATCGGCCTCGCATGCGCGTAAATGGGGGCCGCGAGCGGTCGTGCGCCACCCTATCTGATTGCGGCCGTGGACAGAATTGTCCAGATGCCCGCGGAGCCATCAACGATAAGCTGCAGTAGCGGCGTGGGTCCACATCACCACCGCGGCCGCGGTGAAGGACCTCGGGTGCGACACGAATCAAGGTCGACAGAGGCGCCGAAACACGGCGCAGCGGCGATGGCGGCAAGGGCGCGAGAGGCTCCGGCGGTCCGGCCTCATCCCTGGGCGTAGCCAAGACGAAGAAGTGCAGGGCCGTGCTCTACGACGCCACCATCTTCGAAAAACCATAGATCTGCCCGTTGGCTGAGACCGCACGGACTTGGCGGAAATCCCAGGAGCGGAAGGGCACCGCCAGCCTGCCAGTTCTGCTGCTGAGGAGGAGGAGGAGGAGGAGGAGGAAGAGGAGGAGGAGGAGGAGGAGGAGGAGGAGGAAGAGGAGGAGGAGGAGGTGTCGTGCAAGACCGCGCATGGTAGTCCACTCTGGCCAGACTTCGGACCCAGGAAGGCTATTGGACTATTGGAGGCCCGCCGTGCTCCCGCGCTCGCCCCCGAGCGCCGCCGGGCTCCGAGAGCTGCCCACCGCGCGCCGCACAGGGAACTCTGCACGCTGCCAGCGGGGGCGTGGGCGGAGCACCAGACTGGATGCGCGTGGGGCGCTAGGCTCGCCCTCAATGGGGTCTGAAGTGGAGCCGCGCTCTCTTTTCCCGTCTCCCTGCCCTCCAGCGGGAGAGGAGGGGGCGGGGGCACTGTGCCCGCGGAGGCGCCGCTGCGACGCCCCCGCTGCAGCCGCCACGGCCCCGCTGCCCCGCAGCCCCCGCTGCCTTGCGCAGCCGGTGGCGCCCCGCGGAAGGCAGCCGCCAGAGGGCTGCGCGCCGCGGCGGCCAGGGCGGAGCGCCGCCGACACCGCTGCGTGGCGCGGCGCCGGCGCGGCGCGGCGCGGCCTGCCTGCTCCGTAGGCGACAGGGCAGTTTTTGATACATCGTTGTTTGTTTTGTTTTGTTTTTGTTTTGTTTGTTGATAAAAATGTTTTCGATCCATGATTGATTTATGAATGAGTGTATGTATGAACTCATGCATGTTTAATACACGATCCGCACGCGGAGCATGTATTCAAAACGCAAACTTTGGGGTCGGGGTACCCAGCTTCGTGCTTCGAGCCGCGCGAGGAGCGCCGCGCGGGCACCTCGTCGATGCTGCGCGCCGTCCCCGGCCACGGGCAAGCTCTCTGCAAAGGCAGCGCCATGACGGCCACTTCGGCGACCCCGCTCCAGGCCAGGGCCTCGCCCGGAATCCGCTGAGTCGACCCCCCGCATAACCTCCCGAGGTCCTGCCTCGCCAGCTCTTCGCGCCTGCGTCCAGCCGGGTCACGAGAGAGCATCCCGAAGGCAGTAACACCAGAAACAAGAGGAGGAGGAGGAGTGGGCGGAGGAGGAGGGCAGAGGAGGGGAGTAGGAGGATGGTGAGGAGGATGAGGGAGGAGTAGGAGGATGGAGGGAGGATTGGGGAGGAGGGGGAGAGGGGGGGTGAAGTGAGGAGGAGGAGGAGGAGGAGGAGGAGGATGGAGGAGGAGGACGAGGCAGAGGCGTGCGGCTGCTCGCAAAGCGGGTGTGCGCTCGCAAGTCGAGCGGGCCCCCTCGTCGAGGAAGGCACTGCCTTGCCTCGCCCGCTCGCGGGCAGGTGGCGCGCGGGTCGTGGCGCCGCGCCTGCTCGCGAGCGGCCTGTCGCAGGGCGACTGCGCAGTCGTCTAAAGGGGCCCTGGGATACACTAATAAATATACACACAATGGACATGATTCCCAAATTGTTTCCATTGTTTTGGGATTCTTGTCTTCCCCCCCACTTCCCATATGTTCCCATATGTTCCTGGGGGTCGACGATTCATTGTGTCTGTGTGTTTTTTCCCTCCTAATCATCATAAAAAAGCACACCCCCTGCCGTGGGAGGCACACCTCTCAGCCTCGCCCGCTCGCGAGCAGTCGGCCCGCGCACGGCGGCGCGCGGTCGCCAGGGGCGAGGCGCGAGTCGTGACCACCCGCTCCCTAGAAGGCCCGCTCAGAGAAGCCCCCCTCCTCCCCTCCCCTCCCCTTCTGCCCAGCCCCCCTCCTCCATCACCGCCATCTCCGTCCCCTCGTTCTGACCTCGAACCTTCCTCATGCTGCTCCTCCTCTCGCTCTCCATACCACTCATCCTGCTCCTACTCCTCCTCCTCCTCCTCCTCCTCCTCCTCCTCCTCCTCCTCCTCCTGCTCCTCCTCCTCTGCCTCCTCCTCCTCCTCCTCCTTGTCCTCCTCCTCCTCCTCCTCCTCCTCCTCATCCTCATCGTCCTCCTTACCCGTTGCCCCCCCCCCCCTCATCTTGAGAGCTAGCATTCCGACAAGACGCAGAGGCACCGGACACGTGCTGATAGGGGAGCGGACTGCGGATCAAGCTCCCTTGGTGCGACTCGAAAAAGAAGCCAAGCAGACTCATCACTCTGGCGAAGACTGGCATGAGTCACGCCAGTCTTCGCCAGAATGTTCGATATAATCCCCGACACGCTGCAGGCCACTCTGCCAGACAACCCTATAAGCCCCCCCCCACGTGCGCCGAGATCACCCCCTAATTCGATGGGAGCCATCTTCTGGGAGGGTCTGCGTAAGAACGATTGCAGGCATTTAGGCCCGCTTGCGTGGCCATCAAACCAGATTAGCCTGGATTAAACAGAATTACATGGAGGGTGGGGCCGGTGAGGCCGGTGAGGCCTGCTTTCGACCACGGATGCACCAGCGCCGATGCTGAATGCAACAATCTAGGAAGAGCATCCGATGCGGCCCACACACACTCCGCCCCCACAAGCCCCGCGACGGGCAGCTTGTTTCTTGCCCCCGACGCAATCCACCCCCTGTAAGCTGTCCCGCAGCACGGCTCGCAGGCGGCAGCGGACCAAGGCAGAGCTACGCGAATCACGGCAACGTCCTGTCAACGATGGTTCTTTGGCAACGGGTGCGCCTCGGTGTTCAGGACGTACTGTCCGAGGTCGAGGGTTTCGGCCGGAGAGAACAGCAAGTACAGGTACTTGAAGGTCTCCGCCAACACGAAGGACTGCATCTCATCGAGCTTTTCGGTGGGCACCTTGTCGACATCGTCGACCGAGGCGAAGCCGGTGTCGACCCTGCTGTTCTTCTTGATGGCGTCGAAGAGGTTCGCACCCCATCGCCGGTACTTCTCGTGACCAGTGAGGCGGTGGAGGTAGAAGAGCGACTCCGCTGTCTCTGGGCGCAGATACGAGCGCGTGGCCATGCCCCCAGGGATCTCGGGAACGTAGTCGTGGGGGGGCTTTGCACTGATTCGATAGAACTCGGGCGCGAGACCTGGGAGGACGCCGACAAACTATGAACACACCGATCCTCGCTGAGCCATCCCAGGCCCAGGATCTGTGCACACGCCCTCCGGCTCGGGCTGGAAGGCGTATGCACCGATCCTGGCCTCAAGATTGCGTCGATCGATGCTGACGCATAAAGCATAACGTATCGTCGGCGTCACCGAAGACCAGACTGCGTCCTCGTCCACATCTCCACACACGCGGCCGTCATGCCCTCGGCGAGTCGCAGCCAGGTCTGGTTCCGGGCATTCAGCTCGAGGTCGCGCTGGGGGAGGCTCATGACTCCCAGCGCGGTCATCCCAGGGACGAAGCAGCTGAGGTGGTCCATCTGCCAGATGACATCGCCGTCCGACTGTTTCCCGATCACCTTGTACTTCGGGATGTCCTCAAAGGCCGTGGAAAACACTTCCTCCAGATTGTCGTCCGCGGTCGTCCTAACTGGCTTGACTGGCGACGGCCGCACCATGCTCGGCAGCTCGTCCATAACGGTGAGCCAAAGGTCCTTCAGTCTTTTCTCGTCTGGGCTCTGCAACCACGTCTTCAGCAAGTACTCGAAGTAGGAGTCGGCCTGCGCTCCAAGGGCAAACCTCCCAAAAGACATCATCTGCACGGGTGTGAAATCTGCAGCCGACAAGTACACAGGTAAAATGCCAGTCTTCCCTCCAGACTGGATGGCAGCGAACGCTGCGTCGCCTGCTGCGCGGAAGCGCGGGTCCCCAGTCTGCTCCGAGAGGGACCGCAACTCCAGCTGAATGCTCCCGGCCTCAGCGAGGATGGTTGGCTCCGAGGTCGGCGCGCAGTATCCGGTAGCGATGTTGCACCTGGGCATCGGGAGCCCCGAGCTGGTGTTGAACGCTGGCAGGAGCCGCTCGCCGAGCTCCTTCGCGCGGTCAAGGAAGACCTTCTCTCCCGAGAGAGTGTACGCGCCCAGGAGGCCACCGAGGCCCCGGATCGTGAGCTCGAAGACCGAGACCTCTCCGGCGCGACTGAAGTCCAACGAGTCCCGAACGAAGCCGGTGGCCTCGGCAAACTCGTCGCGAAAGTCCATCAGCCAGAGGGTGTCGAGCGAATCTAAGACCGTGGCGCCAATGCCGCCGAATGTGTCCCTCCCCTGCTTGCTGAGCGGCCGCAGCTCGTCCCGGCCCCAGGCGTACTGGCGGTAGCCGTGCCAGGCGTGGAGGAACTCGTCCCGCACCTCGGCCGCCTGCCGCCTCCAGCGGGCGTCTGCCTTGGACAGGCTCGTTGCAGGGGGCGGCTTTACGGACACACCCGCTTTTCGATGCCCTTCGTCTACCGTCCGCTGGGCTCCGGTATCCTGGCGCCTCGCCGCCGACAGCACCTCGCGGACCGGCCCCTCTTCATTCGTCTCTGTGGCTCTGTCCACGTCGCTGCCCTTGGCGTGAATGATTTGCTCTGCGATGTCACGCATGTGCACAGCCTCATCCGCCGACCCGCTTGCTGGTGTCGAGAAGGCGTGTGCCCCCTCCCCCTTCCCGTCCGCTCCCAAGAAGCCCAACATCCCGTTTGAGGGTGGGGTGGGGACGCTCTAACTCACTCACGTACACACACAGACACACACACACACACACACACGCACACCCTTCCCAGGTCCAAATGGTGCAGCAAGAGCAGTAGAACACAACCCCGAAAAAGGAAAGGCCAACTATTACGCCTGGGACTGCTGGTTGGGACCCCCGCGCGCCCCAGCTTGCGGTCCCAGGCGACTCGTTTGGACGGCTGGCCTCGCCGGGTTCCGCCGCGCCCGGCCGCCGCCTCCTCTGGTGGCGCACCATTACCAGCCTCGAACGTATCCCTATCCCACAGATGTACACGCCAAAAGGCGATGACAATCTTCGGGATTCGCCCTCTAAAAAAAAGGGAATCCCTAAGATTGGCATCGTGATGAGGAGGTGTCCAGCATAGGGCCCAGACATCCGACGTCTCGATTTTTTCGAGACGCGGGCCCCCGACCTCCCGACCACTTCCCTGGGGCTGGTTTTTCATCCCGAGTCGTTTTTTTGACGCTCCCGAGGCCCGGCGAGGGCCCCGAGAGGCCAAGAACTATGAAAAACCTCCGTCTCGATTTTTTCGAGACGCCCGAGGTCTGGGGGATAGGGACATGCTCCAGGCTGGTAACACCAGGGGCGGCCACAGCTCCGTCTGCGCTCGGCAGGCTCGGCGGGCGTCGCGGGGCGCCCTGGCCAGCCGCCCCGGGCACCTCTCCCGCCTCTGCCGACGACCTACCCACCGGCCAGCAGACCCGTATGTGTTACGTCCATGTTCTCCACCTTCTAAAACAGGGCTAGGATCAGGATAAATCGCTCCAGAGCGTTCCGGAGCGCTCTCAGAGCGTTCTGAACGCTCTGGAGCGGCCGCGGCGCCCAATACATCCTCCAAACCCGCCGATTCTCAGAGATTTCGAGTTATCCCGATCCGATTTTGTCCCGATCTTCGCGTCGTTTTAACCCCGCCACCACCACTGGAAATGGAAGGCACAGCGGGGCCTTCGGGTTGGGTTGGGGTGGTGTGGTGGGCGGTGATCTTCATGCTCCTGCCCGCCAAGCCATCCGGCGGGTCTCGAGCTTCACGCTCACCTGGCACTGCACCGGCCTTGCAGACGTGCTGCAGCGGATTCTTGCGGGGACTTCTGTCAGTGCAAAACCCCGAAGCGGCGAGAGACAAACGAAGTGCGTTTCGCGTTGACGATTTGGTCGTCTTCACTCCTGGCCACAAGAAACCCGCACGCGAGCCACCCCGAACTCCGAAACGAACTTCTTCTTCAGGACACTCCGGGCCCATCCTATCGCTTGCCGAGCTGAGCCCGCGCTCTGCGATGCTTTCGGACGCCCGAAATGGGCACCGAAAAAATGGGCACAATGCCCAACAGCAAATGTTGTCCCAAACCGACAGCGGCCGCTGTTGGGCGGGCGACCTCCTGTCTCGAATGGACACAGGCCGCGGCGGCGTGGACAGCGAGTCCTGTTCAGAACGAACAAGAGCTGCTGTTGGGCATCGTACCCATTCTTTCAGTACCCGTTTCGGGCGTGCAGAGATGCTGGCGCCATGACACCCGGCACGGCCCGGGCTGCTTGGCCACCTCTCCGTCGCGTCCGCCCCCCCCCCCACGCGGCCGCGCTCGCTCCGTGCGGCCTGCCGGCCGCCCGTCGCCCTCGAACGCCAGGCTCGGCCTGCCAGGGCGCCTGCGTTCCGCTGCCGCTCCCTGCGCTCTCCTTCGCCTCTGCCCTGCGCCGCCTGGCTGCTCGACCTCGGGGCCTCCCAGGCGCGCCTCCGGGAGCAGCGCTCGGCCACGCAGACTCCACGAGGAAGCCAGCGGCTTCGAGCGTCGCCCGCCGTCGTGGCCGACCGCCGACTGGACCCCTCAGCGCGTGGGAGGGCGCAGCGTGCGGCTGCTCCGTGCCGCCCTGCACCGAGTGGGCCGGCTGCCGCTCTGCCCGTGCCGCCGCTTCGACGCACTGCTGCTCAGCGCCCGCTGGAGTTCAACACCGCGCCGCCACGCGCGCGGTCGCCCGGGAAGCAACGTGTCTGTGGCTGTGTGCGTGTGTGCCAAGCTCCCGAAGCCAGGAACAGCCAGGCACAGCAGGGAGTCCTGCGAATCCCCGCAGACAGGGGCAATCCTCAAGCCGATGCGGCGAAGAATAAATCAGTGCCTTGCAGATGGCCCGAGAGGGTGCCAGGAGTCCAAGCAAGAAGGCGTCTGGGAAGCTACCAAATAGCCCTGATGGGCCAGAAGAGGACTCCGAAGCAAACAAAACCAGCACAGGATAAAGAAGAATGGCACACGGGAGCACCAGGGGCCCGACCGATCCCCAGAAGGGGCCCCAAGGTGACCCCAAGACCGCAAGAGATTCCAAACAGTTCCCCCGAGAGCTTGGACACGCGCGAATCGAGACCATACCCACGACGGACACTCACATGCCCCAGCAGGCGCCCTGATTGGAAGATCTTTATGTTCCCCAAGCAGGGCTTGGACATAGGGGTTCTTCCTTTTGTTCTAAGGAAGTGGGCCTGGGCGTCGGTCTGGCGGCTACGTCGTTGCCGTCACCGCCCCGTCGCCGCCTCGTCGCCACACATCGTCTGGGGCGTCGGTCTGGCGGCTATGTTGTCGCAGTCACCACGCCCATCCGCGCCTCGCCGCCGCCACATAGGTTGCAGAACATCGGTTGCGCAACGCACATAAAACCACAACATGGGCACAACATCGGCCGCAACAGATGGCACACAACATAAACCGTACCACACCGATTGAACAACGTATATTGCACAACATAGGTTGTACCATCTGTGGAACTATCGATATGTGTAAAGATAGATAAATATGTAGATGTATAATGATACGCGGAGCACGGCTGGAAACACAGAAGTTGCATAACGGATATTTCAAACCATATATGGATCAGCATCGACTGCGCAACACATTTTGTACACACTACCCACTACATTTGAACACGTGTATTCTCCTTTCTAAAAAGAGAATAGACTCTACACCCCCCTGGCGTTATCGGTCCCCCTTTCGGGTATGTAAATCATTTACGATTTTGACCACATGTCCATCCTAACTATGAACTTACACGATCCCCGTGGAACCGGTATCGGTCCCCCTGAGGTTCCCTTGTAACAAAAAAACAATACGCGGGGTGATTGTTTGTTCTTACATAAGACTTGTTCGCGGATCCCTTGCAAAAAAAAACGGGACGAAGAGCACACGATCGCGTGGTCGTGCGCGCATGCAGAAATCCTTCAAAAACCCTCGGTGCCGGAAGGATTTCGCAACCGAGTTCCCAAACAACATACACAAACACAGGGTTTCGCAATACTGATTTGACCAAAAAGTGTACGCACGAGCTCTTGCGAAATCTTACGAACACCGTAGGTTTTACAATCTTTTCATAACATGCTACCACACGGGCTTCGCGCGCGCATGTTGAAATCTGTCGAACGCCCTTGCGCGTGTGCCGTCGCGAGAATCCTCTGCAACAGAAATTGGACGAAGTGCAGACGCGCGCGTCGTCGCGCGCGTATGCCGAAATCCTTCAAAACCCAACGGTATCGGAAGGAAGTCAAAATCGTGCGTCCAGAAAACCTACAAAAACACAAGGTTTCGAAACACTGATTTTCAACAAAAGCGTGCGCGCGCACTCTTGCGTCGTCGTCGTCGTCGTCGCCGTCCTTCCTCCTCCCGCGTCGTCATCGTCGTCGTCGCCTACGTCGTCCTCTGTCTTTCCTCGTGCTCGTCGTCGTCGTCCTCTTTGGCGTCGTGGTCGTTTCCGTCGTCGTTGTCGCCGTGATCGTCCTTCCTCCTCCTCCCTCGTCGTCGTCGTCCTCCGTCGTCGGCGTCTCGTCGACGTCCGTCGTATTTCGTCGCCGTCGTCGTCGTCGTTGTCGTCGTCGTCTTCCCTCCTCCCTCGTCGTTGTCGTCGTCGGCGTCGCCGTCCTTCCTCCTTCTTCGTCGTTCCCGTCCTCGCCGTCCTCCCTCCTCCCTCGTCGTTGTCGTCGTTGTCGTCGTTGTCGCCGTCGTCGTCCTCCCTCCTCCCTCGTCGTCGTTTTCGTTGGCGACGTCGTCGTCGTCTTCGTCGTCGTCGGAGTCGGCGTCGTCGTCTTCGTCGTCGTCGACGTCGGCATCGTCGTCGTCGTCGTCGGCGTCGTTGACGTCGTCGTCGTCGGTGTCGTCGTTGTCGTCGTCGTCGGCGTCGTCATCGTCGTCGTCGTTGTCATCGTCGTCGTCGTCGGCGGCGTCGGTGCCGTCATCGTCGTCGTCGGTGTCGTCTTCGTCGTCGTAGTCGTCGTCGCCGAAGTCGTTGGAGACGTCGTCGGTGTCGTCGTAGTCATTGTCGGCGGCGTCGTCGTCGTCGTAGTCGCTGTCGTCGTCGGTGTCGCTGTCGTTGCCAAGTGCCATTTGCTACCCACCGTCACGGTCTTAAGAGATTTTGCAAACCAAGTTGCGGGCGGGTGGGTGGGATGGTTGCGCGAGCAGTGGAGTGGTCAAGCCCGGTGCAGGGTAGCCAACTGCCCCACATAAATTACACCATATACGATGTACAACACATAATGCACACGATAGATGGCCCCACAAAAGTCACACTACATTGACTCTCCTTTCTAAACAAATGATAAGCTCTACCCCCCCCTCCGACGTTATCCGCCCCCCTTTCGGGTACGTAAATCATATATGATTCTGAGCACATGTCCATCCTAAATATGAATTTACACTATCCCAGGGGGACCGGCATCGGTTTGACTGAGGTTCCCAATAAAAAAACAATACGCCGGGACATTTTTTGTGCTAACATAAAACTTGTTCGCGGATCCCTTGCAAAAAACGGGACGAAGTGCACACGCGCGCGTCGTCGCGCGCGCATGCCGAAATCCTTCAAAAACCTTCGGTGTCGGAAGGATTTCGCAATCGAGTTT